ACAACCAACGTTTTACGTACCCTTTTATGGCTAACTTTAACAATTTATTTCTCACTCACCGAAAATCAGTTTTGAGAAAATAAATATACCACGAGTATCTACTCGGAACGTACAATTTTTCTACAATATTTTATTCAACTAAAATTAAATATTTAGCCATAAAAAATTCAGTCAAAAACGGGTCAAACCCAAGTTTTACAACTGATTTTTCCAACAGTACATTCAGACAACAAATATATAAATAACTTCTGGCCTAGTAACAATAATAAATAAGTCATAAGTTTAACACAAGTTCTTGTTTGAGCTTAACTGTTACACGAGTCGATCCGTCATTTTTTTTAAAAACAAAAATGCTTACTTATACAATAAGATGATACGTTTGCTTTTTTTATTTTTTTAAAGTATGACATTTATGTAGAAAAATATGCATACATAGTTTAAAGGGAAAATTACATACATAACGGCATGTCCATTAATATCTACATATATGTAACCCCTGCAAAACATTAATCAAAAGAGGATGAAAAAGTGATTTTCATCTCATTTGTACGAGATTTTGATCTCTCTCTCTCCCTCTCTCTCTCTCTCTCTCTCTCTCTCTCTATATATATATTAATCATGACCGAGATTCTCGCATGAAAAACGGTTGATTCTCTCTCCAAATCTATTTCTCTCTCCAATTGCTTCTCTTTCCAATAAGTTTATTTCTCTCACTTAAAATAAAAACCATGCCATTAATGATAGTTACAAAATTGTTTCTCTCTCCAAAATCCTTTATCTTTCCAAGAAATCTGTTTCTCTCACCAAAATAATAACCATGTCATCCCGTCAAAATATGAGTTAGTGAAATTGATCGTGAAAATATGTTCATATATACTGTATATATACATAAGATAAACAACATGTAAAAAATATGTAAATTAACTGTATAGTTATACGTAAGATAACAAACATATAAACAACACTGAAACGGGCTAAAACATAATACACAATTCTAAATGACTGCAAAATTTCCTTTGATATCAGGGATTGGAAAGCAAAAAATTCATATCATATAGTTCTCTACAATATCTCCTTCAATAAGAAAAATCAGATATACCGTACATATACTACCTAATAACCACAAAAATAGTGTTCAAATATATTGTATATATACATCAAATAAACATGATCTCGCAGTTCTCTAATATTAACTGTATAATTATACATAAGATAAACAACATATAAACAATTCTGAAATGGAGTAAAAACGTAATACACCTTGACATTCAAAAAAATTGAGATTTTAAACAATCGAGATTCGACTTGGCTCGGGGCTTGAAGGTTCGCTTTCTTTGCCTTCCCTCCATGAATGTTTTCGTTTGTTTCCCCCTTCTCATATAGTTCGATAGACAAGAAAATAGATTACTGCAAATAATTTCGAGTTTTTGCCAACCGTCCGCTTTCACACAGCCGTTGGGTCCAGCAACCACGCACTCAGGTCAGGCAAGCATCACCTTTGAGAGCCTTCGTCAGTCCAAGCCTCGTGCGTTGCACTGCCGCTCATAGCCCCGTCGAAGTGGATCTCCATGGATTCGAAATTGAAAGGTAATTTCTAAAATTTGTGAAATTGTGTGCTGTGAGAAGTTATAGATAAAAAATCAAGAATCGAAATAATGAAAGAAGAAGAAAAAGACGAGGGTTATGGAGAGAGAGAAAGAGAGACAGAGAGAGAACACGTAATAGATGAGGGAGATAGAGAGAACAGATAGCCGCATTAATTGCTAAAAAAATCTCATGTAGACAACACGTAATTTTGATGAAAAATTTATCTGCTCGTAATTTTAATATTATTTCCATAAGCAATTGTAATGAGTATAATTTTCTCTAGTTTAAACTGCAATCGCGTATTAAACAGGCCGGTTCCAGCTGAATTCTACAATTATTAATGGCCCAACACTTTAGGGCCCAACCCAAAACTGGCGTGTAAGTGTGAAATTATTATTATTATTATGAATAAAGAACACTTTTTTTTTTCCTTCTAAAACAAAAACACAATGTAGTACAAATGATTCAGATGAACAGGATAAGTCCCTCCAACCTACACCACAACTTTAAACCAGACAGCAAATGCCAATATTCTGAGATTCCGAAAAATTGCATCGATATCAGAATCCGAACACACAATCCCATGAGGAAATTAGCGATAACGAAAATGGTCGAAACATCGCTGTATATAAGATGAAAATGTAACTAAAAAAAAAAACAATGGTTTAACTTAAAACCGAACAAACACCGACTATATTTACATTGAACGATTCGAAATGCAAACCAAACCAAAGTCCAGACATTCTTGAAGAGACTGCCTTAACTAAACACACCACACATGATGATAATATGGCTATTAAGAGTCTTCGCCACGATTACAACACAAGCTGGGAATTTCGGCTAATATTATCTCCCAACTTTTATTTTAGTCAATGGCACAAAGATGAAATATAGCTAAAAGCTTATATATATTTTTTAGTCATTATCCAACGGCGGAAGACAATAAGCTGTCTTTCAACTATAACCGTCGATATTTGTTCCCTTTACCCTATTCCAAAAAGCAGAAGGGTATATCTTCCTGAGAGGCAAAAACGAATGGAAAAAAAAAGAGAGAGAAAAAAAGGAGTTACGACACTTGAGTAAACGAATTATATACTTGAAATAAAAAATACTAAATCATGACGAGCAAAATAACTAAGATAATCAAGGTATTGTGATCTTTTATAACTAAAAACGACGAAAAAAAAGAACTGATAAATGTACGATTTGTTACACTGCCCATGCTCTCGGATAGATAAGACCACACCGCCTAACAGACTATTTAATGCTTTCGGATACATTTATAATTCTTGAGATAAATTTCCATATGTGATGAGAGATGAGATGGAAATTTAGTGATGAACAACCTTCAAAACATTTAATGATAACCGGATAAATCCTAGTGTACGAAAACCTTAACGATCGACAAAGAGTGAACTCTCATAAAGAAAAAAGGTAGTAGATTGGAATACCTATATAAGTACGTAAATTACATGCCACATTCATCTCCTAGTAGTAAAGAGATTCTGCAAACAAAAAAAAAAAAAA